CGTTTCAAACCTTCAGAACCATAGAGATCTTAATATTGGAGGGAACAGAACCATAGAGATCTAGACGTTCCCGAGTTATAAAATGAACCATAGTAAAAGGGTATATCTTATTATTCTTCAGATCTTTTATCTATTTTTCATAAATTTTAGGTTTTAAAGAAGAGTCTGGAAGAAACCATGAAAAGGCACAATATAAAGGAGATTGAAGATCAAACTTTGGAGGAGTTACTTGCCTCAAAAAAAGAGGTCGAAATGTTTCTAAATTTTCTGAATAATAATTTTAAGGAGACGGATCCGGCTTCGTCTCAGTTCATGCCCTCAAAGAATAAGAAGAATCATTCCTTGCCCTTAAAGATTAAGAAGATGTAGTACTCGTACAATAGATCATATAAGATCGATTGTTGTATGATTTTCTCCTTCAAAACTTAATTGAAAAATTTCGTTTTGTTGTAATAATTGAAGGAAGTCATGTCGTTTTAATTTTCAATAAGATTGTCATTATGAATTAAGTTTCATCTTTAAAAATTACAATATGGGTGATCATGTTCATCGAATGTGGTTTTAACTGTTCATTGAGTTTACGGTTGGGTTAAATGAGCTTATATCGTCTTTGTGAATGAAGATGGATTCTTTTCATGTGGAACCTCTTAAGAACCTGATGTTAATGAACGTTTAGAATATTTAAGACCCTCAAAAAGCTCATATTTATACATTTGTTTTATATAGTTTCTCATCTATATAAAACCATGTAGTTGTCCTAGATTTTGATATTTTATTTTACATGGTACCATAAATAAAGGAGTGTTTTTCAAAGATTAAGATATTTTTTTGTCAATTTTCGAAAATATTAGTACTAGTTTTTCATCATATAATTATAAAATTCAGAAACCATCATATTTTTTAAGATTAATTTATAAAAAATAATTCGATGAAAAAATGGAAAAAATACAAATACTAACGGACGTTAAATGGATCTACAATATAGCGTCTGCCAATTAGGATAAGTTCAATGCTTTTCTCGAGCTCTATTTATAAAAGAAAAATTTCAAAAAATACCATTTTTTAAGTGGTACTTTACAAAAATGCCAATTTTTGAAATCTTTACAAAAATACCACTTTTTCAAAATTATTTTTCTTTATATTATTTATGTTTGGGTTAATTATGTTCTATTAGGGTTTAGTTATGAGGGTTTAGAGGGTTTTAGGGGTCAAAACATTTTTTAGGATTTAGAAATTAAGATATAGGCTTTATAAATCTATAATTAGTGGCATTTTTGCAAATAAACATCCCTAAGTGGCATTCTTGCAAATGTGCACACAAAAATGGCATTTTTGTAATTGCCCCTTTATAAAATTTGATTTTTCTACAATTTCATTTTGAATTTTTTTTTAAACCAATTAATGTTTTTGGTACTTTTGTTAGAAAATAACTAAAAGTAATTATTGTTTCAAAACTAAAAGAAATTATTTTTTTCTAAAGTAAAACTTCCTACTTTTGCTATTGTAGTTTTGTTAGAAAATAGCAA